ACAAACAACAGAAAATGAGCAAGAAAAACATGAAATAGCATGGCATCCGTGGTAGTCCATGTTCTAAAAGCAAACTGGGCAATTTGTGAACCAGTTCTGTGAAATGTCAAGGCTATAACTGCCTGCATCAAGTTCCTACCCTTTTTCAGGGTACATTTAAAATTGGCCTTTTTCTCTTGACTTTGTGTACTATTTACAGTAGCTGCAAAACATACAGTGTAAATGGTTGCTGAAATGTAAAAACAAGCTAATTCCCTCTGATTCTTCTCAGACCACATATTTGTAAATTGTCTAGACTTTATTTGTTGAAGCTTATTATTAATTTATGAGATTACTCGTACAATTAGTGGCCCAACACCCTGTTATTATGTCTCAGTACTAGTTAGTACCTTCACCAAAAAAAGGCCATGTTTTCGTCCCAGAGATTAATTACTGGTGGATAGAACCATAGGTCAGCTCTGTTGAATGCTGATGCACACTGCCTAACTTGACAGAGCTGGTTCAAGTACTTAAATTAAGACGTTATTCTCAGCAGGATAAGTCACTCTCCAGATGGTGTCTGTTTTCTCCATTGAACTGCTCATGCGTAACAGATTTAGATTAGGGTCTTTAGGTCCTTTTGCTGAAGTTGGCTGAAAGCTCCCTGCAGCTTGAACTTTCTAGGCTATAATACTCTATCTACAAAACAGAAGCGTCAGTACTTCCGATGTCTATTTGGAAGTTACAGTTGTCTAGGGTAAGGAGTATGCCTACTGCATATATACACAGTACTCGATGCAGGAAGATACTAACTTTTACTGCATTTCCTGGTTGCTACTGCAATATAAGACCAAGTTAGGAAAATATACTCAACCTTTGACACAAGGGAATCTTGCATGCGAGTACATGATTATGTTAGTGAGCATTTTGTATAATCTACATTACCAGAACTGGGAAGTTAAATGCTGAATTTAACTAAGAGCAGGATCTCAGCAAGACTTTGGAGAAGGAACACAAATCTGACTTATAACGTTCCTCTTCTTGATCTTACAATCACCTCCTGAAATGCATCATAACCTGAACAAGGTCAAGAAGATTTGGCTATGGGAATGTTTTGGTCAAGTTTAATCCCTTCTGATCTCCACAGATAGCTTCAATTTTCCTTCCCTGGAGGAAATTTCCCCCTTCTAAGATGAGCATGTGCTTGAAATGGCAAGACAGGAGAATTCAATGCGTTCTGAGGAAGCAATCCATACCATTTCTCTGCTTTTATCAGGGAAGAGCCAAAATACAAAGCAATATTGCACTGTCCTTACGCTTTTTAAAAGGAGGATGAGAAGTAGATTATCCTCTCATTGAGATATTTCCCTCTGTCCTCTTCCCTTTAGTATAGTCAGCTTTTTTGGTTTCATCCAAAGTTTTCATATATCAGTAATGAGTAAATTCAGTGATTTCAAAATTTAAATACCATAACAGGAACATTTTGGGGGAGGAATAATGACATGCCTGTAGCCTCCACTGAAATGTTCTGGACTCAGCTGATTTTTTTGGAAGCCAGAGAAACTGAATAATTTTTAAAGAAAATAAATGAGACCTATGTCTCCTCTGGAGTGCTATCACACATATATTAGTAATATGTGCCTACCTCAAGTTCTAACAGCAGCCTCTTAGCAATAGGCTCTGGCCTTGTGCTTAGTTAATAATTTTAAAAAAATACTGTAAAAATCTTAATCCTAACATTCTTCCCAAACTTAAGGTTAAATAAGTAAACTTGTCTCAGTATATCCCACTTGAACTATACCATATCAGTAGCACTCAGAAATTTGCACTAATGTAATTACAAGCTGATGAAAAGCTATAAAATAAAGATGCTTATAATATATACCTCGAGTTATATAACTGTAAAGCAGGCCTTTATGCAGCAAGTAAAAAGACTGGTAGAAAATACCAGTCTTGATATCAGCAATAATAAAAAGACTGGATGGGGCTACAAAGGATAGTGCAAAAACCTGCACCTGGGAAAAAATAACCCCATCTACCATTACATGTCAGGGACTGCTCAGCTGGAGAACAGCTTTGCATAGAAGACCTGGGGTTCTGGTGGACCAGTTGAACATGAGGCAGCAATGCACCTGGCAGCAAAGAAGGCCAAGAGCTGCTTTAGGGCTGGGCTGCATTAGGAAGAGCACTGCCAGCAGCTAGAGGGAAGTGATCCTTCCCCTCCACTCAGCACCGGTGAGACCACATCTGGAGTACAGTATCCAGTGCTGGGATCCCCAGTGCACGAGAGATGTGGAGCTACTGCAGCAAGTCTAGCCAAGGTCCACAAAGATGAAGAAGGGGCTGGAGCATCTGTTATACAAAGAGAAGCTGAGAAACCTGGGACTCTTCAACTGGAAGAGGAGTGTTTTTCTCATGTGTGTAAATACCTGATGGGAGAGTCTAAAACGCGTGGGGTAGATTCTTCTCAGTGGTGGCCAGTGATAGGAGGAAAGGTAATGGGCTCAAACTGAAATACAGAAAATTGTACTCAAACATAAGAAAACACTTCCAGAATGTGAGGGTGGTTGAACACTGGAACAGGTTGCCCAGAGAAGCTGTGGAGCCTCCATCCTTGGAGATATTCGAAACCCAGCTGCATACAGTCGTGGGCAACGTGATCTAGGTAACCCTGTTTGAGCAGGAGGGTTGGACCAGTTGATCTCTAGAGGTCCCTCCCAACCTTGCTTTTGGCAATTTAACTTGTAGTCTTACGAAAATGCTGCCAGGTTTGTTTGAGAAGAATCATGTTACATGCTGACTAGCATTAATTGTGCTACCATCCTTTAATTCTGTTTACTAGCTGTCTTTCGACTTAGACTTTCTGAGATTTTTCCTGGGATTCTGTGATGCTAACGGGCAGATATTTAGCTGGGCTATCCTGTATACCTTTTTGGAAATTAGTTTATTTCTTTCCCCTCGGTGCTCTGATCCCTCTTCATTATTTAAAGATTCATTATAAATCAACCAATATCTTGCATTCAGCAAGATGGCTAACCAACCCTCTTCAAACTCTTGGATGCAAGTTATTCAGTCTCATATGTTTACAGATGCATAGCTTCAAGAGTCATGCTCTAACAGCTTAATTCCTGTGGCAAGTACTTACTGGCCTTACAGAATGTTACATATCATCCAACTTATTTCCCTGTATAGAAAAGAAATTTTTATGAGATATTTCTGCCATTTCATGCTTAGCGCACTGATGACAGCTTTACTGTCTTTACTTAGGAAAAGGTCTGCGCTATTTAGAATTTTTTTATTTCTTCATTTCTGACATACCAAAATTTACCTAAATATTTTCTTCTGCCTTATAGTAATATTTTTTGTAATACTTTTCTCTTATCATTTTTCTAAACATAGAAATTGCTAATTTATATTCATTGCTATCAATTTTCCCCCTGCCATTTGTTAGATATTATATTTTTAATTTCTCACTGAAGCCACCTTTTTGACTACTAAATTTCATATTTCAGGACAGCTTTCTGAAACAACTTATTATCACATATATTGACTTTTTTTTAAAAAAATCCCATTTCAAGCAAATTTTTCATAATTTTATTTGGCCTGAGAATATTAGTCTATTTATCTGAAGGGGGAAGTATGCATTTTATTGATCAGGACTGCAGTTTGATTGTGCATAACAAAAGCAGTGTGTTGGAATCATTTGCACAGCTATTAGTTAGTAGTTCAGGGATCAATTCATCAGTGGTTGTCAGAATAATTTCCAATATAGAAACACTCCATATGGAGTATTTGGAAGCATATGGAAGTTATCAGTTAATTTCTACAATCACTGACACTGCTTTATGGTAGCATAGGACTTTCAGTATACGCCCACACTGGCCGAAATTGCCCATGACTACATTGTTTTTGTCACCCTATGCATATCTAATCCAAGTTAAAGAATTTCTCTATCGCACTGTGGCTTAACTCAGTATCTGCATCAGCTCACTGCTGGCACCCTGGTGACAGATGAGTCAGAGCAGCCATACACATGCACCACTGGGCTGGCACCCTGGACTGCCAGGATCTCTGACACATGTGATATTTCTGATGTACACTGCCATACACTTCCATACCCTCCTTCCCACTCTATCCTTCCTAAAGCAGGTGTATCCAGAAATGCCAACATGCTAGGCATTTGAATCCTTCTGCCTTATAACTGGAACCACTGAAGAGAATCTACCTAGCTGGAGCTAACCATTTTGCTCCTTGGTTATTGAGTAGCATCTGTCCAGGTCTGAGACACGTACCAAAAGTGCCTTCAGTGATTTATTACAAAAGCAATCCTCAGCATAATAAACAGTCCCAATTTCACAGAATCACAGAGGGACCTCTGGAGATCATCTAGTCCAACCCCTCTGCTCGAGCAGGGTCACCTAGAGCACGTTGCCCAGTATTGTGTCCAGACGGCTTTTAAATATCTCCAAGGATAGAGACACTACAACCTCCCTGGGTAACCTGTGCTATTGCTCAGTCATCCTCACTGTAAATAAGTTTTTCCTTACATTCAGACATTTCAACGCTTATCCCACACATAGAGATAACCAACTCTTCCTTCCTGGCTTGGTCTGGTACCCTTAACAGGAACAAGATATACAGCTGATTCTAGTAATGTGACATGAACAGCATCAGAGAGCTGGGTTCTGGGCCAAGGCGTGAAACCAATTCCTGACACTTCTCAAGGTGAGTGGCCTAGCACACCTCATATAAACAAAGGATTTCTGCAATAAATCACAGAATCACAGAATCGCAGAATGGTTGAGATTGGAAGGGATAACTGGAATAAGGAAGAGGGAAGCTGTTTTCTTGGACAGGCATAATAAAATAACATGGGGTTTTGATATTTATACCATGCTAGGTACGGTAAATAAAAAAGACCCTGGCCTTACAGGAAGTGGTTGCTGTGCTCTGGGTTGGAAAAACATAGTCCCGAGTAATTCTTCATGGTTGCTGAAGTCTACCTTGCTTTCCCTTCACAGTACGATGACAAACCCTACTGTAACCACTGCTACCTGCAGCACTTTGGACCAAGAGGTAACATCTTGTCTACCCATTAATGTTTTATTGCTATAATCATTCAGTTTAAGAGATTTATTTTCAGAAGTACTTACTACGTATTCTCAGTTTTCCAGGTATGATCATATCTGTATAGAAAAAGAAGTAATTTGTCCAAGCAAACTGCATTCGAGAGGATGCAAGGAATCAAGGTAGTTAACAATCTAATTTATGGATAGAAACCTTATTCAGGAGAGCAGATATTTTACAGATGCAAATAGTTTGTGGATGTAAATTTGCCCTTTCAAATGCAGATGCTGACTTGAAAGATTTCGAAAAATGTGGACTAATATTCGAGTTAAAGTCTTTCAGTTTCACACTGTAAATATTTAACAGGCATTTCCCAGCTGGGACTGGGAAGATTTTTCTCTGCTAAAGGAGAAAAAAGCCTTTCAAAAACCTCTGGTAGGTCACCTATTAGCACATATCTTAGTGTTACCCAATAAGAATGAGAAAGAAGAAGAGACACAACCACAGACCACATGAAATGAGATTACAACACATATCTTGGTCCCATGCTCCCTCCTCTCTTGTTTTAAGGGCACCTATTGGTGTCCATCTGGCACAATGAGTCCATCTGCCCGCAGTAAGAGCTGGGTGCACGCTACTTGTCACCTTCAGATGTGTCTGCAGACCCTAAGCACTGCAGACCAGCACATACCATCAGCCAGAAAACTCTCTCCAGAGCCTAAAATAAACTTAAAACCTGGAGTGAAAGACAAAGTGCTGCAAGTGTAATGTGTCATAGGAAAAGAGAAGCAAAGAGCCCGTAGTGTTGAAATCCTAAGTCCTTGTAGTACTTAATGATATGTGAAATAAAACTCCCACATCCTCCTGGAATACTAGACTACAGTCTCCAAATTGCAGAGAAACTCCACTGTCTAATGGTTTGTGTCACAGGGACTAGACACATGAGCTGTTGCCAATCTCTCAATAGCAAATCTAAAGATTGTTTGAGCTGGGAGTGTGAGATATCCTGCAACTGACCCCCCTGAATGCCACCAGAAGTAGTAGTGGTTCTGCCCTAACACTGCCTGTGCTTTTGGCCTATCTTTGGTACTTTAGGGAGGGAAGAAAGACTAGCAAACCCAGCCAAATCATGAAACTTCATGTTTAGGGGTGGTAAGAAGGAAGAAAGGAAATTCCTTATTGACCTAAGTGAGCAAACAGTAGAAACCTGGAAAAGCGTAACTAATATGACAGAAGTATAACACAGCTAGCCCCCGATGTCCCTGCTCATCCACAAGTCTGGCTGCAGCACAACATGGCCACAAAGCTTCAACTCCCCTCTTCGTTTCTCATGCTGTAAAACGGAGGTGCGTGTTTCAATTCACTATCAGTTTGTGAGGGGTAGCCAAACTATCACCTACAAATCCTGATCTTGTATTTGCAAAATTAAAGCCACACTTCTAATTCTTTTCGGTCTTTTCATGTAAGGTTGTTTGATTATATTTATGAATCCACTGGTGGTGACGTACTTCTGATCCACACCGAGTGAGGCTGATGGAGAGTATATCTGTAATAGTATCATATCAAAAAATGCAAAGGACCGTGGGTTTCATTGTTATTGCTGTTTTGTCCTCAGTTCCCTCTGCCCCTGGTTTGTGTCCTGGATTTTCACATAATAATATAACACTTTAGCTGAAGGCAAACAAGCAAGCAGAGTCATCAGGAAACCTCAGGCTGGCTTTATCTGCATCCATCTAAATATTCCTCTTGCCGCAGCACCCCTTTATCTTGCTATTACCTTAGCACCACTGCTGCGAGGCAGGGCTATGACGTATCCTAATTCTGCGGAGAGGGACTGGATACAGCTAACAGGTAACCGATTTACCCAGGATCACATGTGACATCTGTAGCAGACAGGGAACATGACCTCAGATCTCAAGAGTTCCCATGGAGAAGCTTTACTACAAAGCCACCTTCTTCCTGCAGATAAACTGCCTATTGCATTACTCAGACTACATTTTCATCAGTATAAAACTGGCAACTACCCCGAAGTAGGCATTAATTATTAGTATTTGCAATAGGTTCTACAGCTCCCAGGTATCATTGCGATCTCCTTGTGCCAGATGCTGCACACATGGAAAAACTTTCTGTAAAAAGATAAACATGCCAAACATGGGAGAAAAACAGGCAATACAGAAGCAGAAAAAATATCAAACAATGTAATGGATTTTCCAAGAAAAGGTAGGGGTACAGATAGAGATTGAATCTGTGTCTCCTGACTCACAGGATAATGTCTGCCCTCCAAATCTTTATCTACTGGTGTCTACTGATCAGCATGTAGTCAGCACCTTGTCCAATGAGTGTATTAATTCGATTTGAAATCACACTTACCAGAATAAATGCACAGTTGGCGTATGTTAGGCTACAGGCACAGCTGAAATTTTGTGTATCAATTTGGAGTGATACTGGCTGAGCTGTTTGGGAGAATGCTGTGTCTGGCGTTTAGACTTTTTGGCATGAAAATCAAACTAACCCTTAGCTGTCTGCATATCTAAACTATGCTTTACAAGTCTGCTTTTAATTCACCGTATAACCCAAACGGATTTTATATCCGTTTAAATACGCTGCAGGATTATGCTTTGTACCATAATATATTACACTATTGCAGCTACTGCATTTGCATTTATAACAATTAAAAATCCAATATATTAGCACTTCTAATCAGATATGGGAATTCAATACAGTGGTACTCCTAATCAGATACCAATACGTAGTTTTAAAAAATATCCTTGCGTTGGTAGCAGCAGTTTGCACCTTTTGAACTGTGCTCGTTAGGGCTATGCAAAGAAACAAATTTTTTCAGTTTCAACATAAACATTAATACCAATGACAACACTATTACAGCTACAGCTAGTAGCTTTTGGTGTCTCCAAATTCAATGTTTTATACGTAAGAGAATTTCAAAATTGCGAAATATTGTATTCAAATCAAATTAAATACATTTTTTGTAATGAAACAAATGGTTTGTTTAGTTGACAAGATTTTAAAAATAAGCAATGTCAGAATTAATTTTTATTCTGAAAATGGAAAAAGATTATTTCAGATCTTTAAAGATTTTTTTAAATTATCTGAAGTATGAATTCGGTTAAGTCAGATCTGCACATTTTTCAGAGGAATGTTTAGTATATTTTTTAGCTAATCTAGTACTGAAATATTTGAAATGAAGCACCTGGTGGTGTAAGACTGTCTTGAAACTCCAGTATCTCAGCTGACTTAGGCAGCCGAAAAGGGATATTCCAGCTGATCCACCAGAGGCTTGCCGTAGTCATACCTCCAGATATTGAGGTGTATTGAGGTAACTAACTGGATGAAAACTGACCATTCAGGGGTGGGGTGTTCATTTTTAGCTGTATCAGGTCTCTGACCTGTCTTACAATGCAGTTGCACAAAGTGCTAGTGCCTTTCCAGGCATGTGGCACAGCTGAGCCCTTTTGGGTTTTAAAAAAAAGGGTTTTACCCTTTTTTGGTAAACCATGAAAGCTGTATTGGCTTCAGGGGGGGGCGAAACCGCACTCTGACTGAATTGCTCTCCAAAAGCATCTTTCAACTGTAGGTCATGAGGAAGTTTGGCAGTGTGAAAAACTGTATGTTGTGTAGCTGCTCATCGAAATAGCAGAGTAGTATGTTTTCAGTAACTGGTTGGGTAGCTGAAACATCTGAAGAAGGAAGATGATGAATGGCCGTACAGTGGACCTCTAGTCCACTAGGGGGGCAGCAAAGATGTCTTATGCTAAGACCTGGAAGTTCCAGGTGCCTACACATTTTCAAGAATTTCCATTAGCTATCAAAACAGCAAATAACACACTCCTGGCTATCTCTGAGACGTTTCACAGCCAGCAACTCTATGCATGCAAATATCAGTGAATCATTTTTTTCAAAGTATTCAACATGATCTACCTGATAGATGCAGCACAAGTTGTTAATGACATTAGACTAAATTCTCGAAATGAGAGCTATTGTACACTGGTGTTTTATGCCAAAACAGTTCCAACAATTAAGATATCTGACTTGCATGTCAAAGAGGATAAATGTTATTGAAGCTTATGTTCAGTTTGGTTTCTCCTGAGACTAAGTTCAGCTGAGTTCAATTTCTAATTGAACAGCTTGCCAAAGCTTCTACTGCACTTTGAGTAGGTTTAATTTCCTCCTATTCTTAATGGTAAGTAGAATCTTTGATGAGGGTTTTTTAAGATGACAGCACTGCAGATTAGGTTTGAATACTCAATTTTACACTGCATTTCTTTTTAATTTTAATTACCCTTGCCACCTGGAAAGTTACATGAATTTCCTTTTGTTCCTTTCCTCCATGTTTTTTTTCTGATTAATATGCTTTCTTGACTTTTCTTTCCTTTCTTTTTTTTTTTAAAGGAACAGGGCGTCCAACATCTCGCTTGTTTCTTGGAGCAACTTCCTCTTCCAAGGTTCCAGCAGGAAACAAGAACAGATCTTAGATGACCCTTCTTTAATGTCCAGACTGTGGAGAACCATCACTGGATCATGATAAAGTGGCAAGATGCCAAAAAAGTGATTTTTTTCCTTAGAGTGTAAAAAAGAACACTGGTTTCGAGAATGACTGATAATCCAGAAAAAAATGTAAAGGAAAGTACTCTTCTAAACTGAAATATTTATCATAGATTAAAACTGTGCTGTGACAAATTAAATTTAATGAGCAGCAATGAATTCAAATGGTTTGCTTGGGCACACATTCATAACATATACCTGATGTTTTAATAACTTACGAATTGTTGTTTGACTCATCTGAATTGTTAGTAATCTGCTGAAAACTACTGCCTTTCCCAGTGTATTGGACTCCTAGGTAGAAAGTTCCTCAGCACTGGTCTTGTTCCTATTTGCTATGGAGAATTGCTCATGGAGGTACAGTGAAATACCTCAAACATTTGTCAGCGGCAGAGAATGTGAGTGAGATTCTTCAGGTTAAAATGGTTACTTCTGTCCTGGTCCAGTGGATCGCCACAATTACGTGACTTGGAGATGGAGGTGTAGCCAGCTGACAAATACAGAAGTATACATACATATAAAGACAGCTGTCTCTGTATTTGCCACAGTTAAATTCCACTTCCTCTGATTTTGTACTTGTTTTGATGATCAAGAGTCAAGAGTTTATTGGCATATGAGCAGATCCATTGAAATTAACACATCTGGGCCTACATTTCCTGTTAGGTTCTTCATTTCTTCTGAGCTTCAGGAACACTTTTGATCTTACATTGTACATTTCCCCTCCTGGATTTTTTTTTTTTTTTTATTACCTTCTCACTTTGCCACCTAACTCCAGTGTAGTGAAATGTGTAATGAAAGTATGAAGAAACTTTCCATCACGATACCTAGATATAGCACACTGGAACACCAATTCATCTGAATTTATATATAAAAGCAGACTAACCAGGCTAACTACTTAATATAGAGAAAATATTTCCATAATAATGTGGCATCATTATTCTGAAATTACTCCTTGTAAAATAGATGATTGATTTTAGGATTTTATCATGACTATGGCCAAATGAAGTTTTAAAACTCCCAATTACTATGTTTTTGCTATGTCATTGAAAAGTTAGCTATATTGTTTCAGTATATGAAATAGACTTTTCCATTTCTGATTTACCCTGTACAGCAAATTTTCAAAATATGTTTCACTATTACTCTCTAAAGAATCATTCTCAACTTTGATTGAAATACTTTATACTGTCTACTCCCAGTACAACTCCATCTGGAAACACTGGAAAATGCTTTTACTGAGCTTGGTGTTCTTGAAGTTTATCTATCAGTACAGCTAAAAGGTAAGCACACCAGAACTGAGTTATTAACAACTCTGATGCAAATGAATCATAATAGAAAGAGATTTTTTTTTCTTTTTTCTTTTGCATGGTTGACTTTATGTCTTACAGCTGAAGGTATTTAATTTATTTTATTATACCCTAGCTGAGCATGGGAGATAAGAGCTGCCCCCCACCCCGCCCCCCGCCCGGCCCCAAAAAAATGCTGTCGGTAAAACAGGCTTCTGAGATTTAGCTCATTGCATGCCTGTCGCAGCCTTACTTGGTAATGCCAGGACAAGACTGTTATACTTTTAGTGTCTTATCTCCCTACAGGTAAACTATAAATACAAAATTGTGCGCTCCTTCAGGTCACAGCTCTGTCTAGTGCTGACTGATCAGAAATGGAGTCAGTTTTGGGTTTGGCTTTTTTGTTTTTTGACCAAAATGACAACAACAAACAAAAATCTAATATAAACCTTAGGGATATCACAAGTTCTGGATTTCCCCATACCACAAGCTGCATTGTGAAGCCAAGTCATCTCTTGTAATGTATATTTATTTTCCTTTCACCAGATAACTCAGCAAAATTTTCAGTCATCTACTGAAAAACACATTTGTGACTACATAACTTATAAAAAAACATACCATTCAATTTCTCTCAGAAACAGAATGGAAAAATGAAGACATTACTTAAAGGCGGTACCCTTTTCATTAAGAAAGGAAGGTTTCATCATCTAAGCTAAATCACAGTACTTCATTCTGGGATATTCTCTTCTTTTCTGTTCTTCTTGTTTCTGTTTCTTCATTTTCTGTTTTTCAAGATCATTCACAACTTCATAGAATTTCCTTAACAATGTGACAACATTCTCACTTTTATTTTCCTGTTCTCTTTCTGTTAACTTTTTTATAAGAAAATACGCATATCATGAGAAGTATATTATAGTGCTAAATAACTCATATTATGCTTTACTTGCTTCAGCTGCCAAAAATTATAGTAGCAAAATAAGTGTTTTAGAGAATAAATATATGTCGTCTTCTTAGGTATATCCATTATCCAGGGTTCTGGGGCACCTCCTACTAGGCCTCAAGGGGATTTTCATCCCTTTTTTGAGTGTTTTAAGTGTGGAATTTTTGAAGGAACCTAAGGTACTGACTTCTGCTGAAGTTAATGGGCATTCAAAACCACTCAAAGAAAATATTTTGTTTGTAGCACATCTGCAGGCCCCACGATGCTAGAGGTGGCGTGGGACTGCTCTGGGCACAGTGTGTCAGGGCCTGGCGGGCATGGATAGCCCTGGCTGTGCCTGACCGTTCCCTGGCTACCACATGGGCAACGCACGCTGCAGGGCTGGGCATGAGGGCTGGACACTCGTCTCAGAGCATGGGCTGACCTACCTTTGCTTTTATGCTGAGATCTAAAGTAGCAGTGGCCACAGGGAGCTCTGTATCAAGGTTTTCTTGTGCAGCTAATCAGGAGACTGCTTCCTACATTTCAAGAATAATATGCAATACCTCATTCCTTCTGTTTCACATGTTGAATTTTCATTTCTTATCTCCCTGTGGGTGTGTGCCATCTCTTCAAAGTGCAAGCATGTTGTGCGGGTATGCAGTTTCTGCTAGGTGTGCTGTTCTGGCTCTTTAGTCATTAGAGCTCGGTTATTTCTCAGCCACCATGCAATATGCAAATACGTATGTTCTTGCTCTTCGGTGATCTTCCCTAGCCAGCGGGCATGCAAAAACCTTTGTAATGACTGCACTGTTATTTCCTGAATGAATTTATAAATATATAAAAATGTGGTTGCTACAAATGATTACTTTCCTCAGTTCTTGGACTCAAGCTCTTTGCCAATAGTAAAGTTACAGGCATAAAAACTCCAAAAAATGGGAGGGAAAAGAGGAAGAACCACAAACATATAGGGCAGAAGCCCTGAAAATATTCTTACTGTAGTCTCTGTGCTATGATTGTCCTGGGAAAAATTGGGACTTCGTTGTGCTGGACAAAGTTGGAGGGGGAAAAAGTCCCTTCACCAAAGATGCACAGAGATGGAGGTGGGGAGAGGGGTTGTAATTGGAGCACAAAGAAAGAAAGTAACTTTTTTGGGTACCCAACCAGTTATTAACAAAGGACAAAAACAAGTCAGGTCTCTTGGGCCTTAACCACTTTGCTCTGCACTGGGAAATTTCATTTGAAAAGGATTTTTCTCTTCTTTTTATATGTGCTTCATGTGGGCCCAAAGCCGTCCTGATCTCCTCATTCAAAGGAGAGGACGAAGCCCTCCTGCCTATTTGTATTGGCAGGATGCAGTAAGATGAGAGCTGTAAAGCAGATAAAAGGGTTGGGCAGCAGTAGATAGGAGAGCTAAAGAAATCAGGAAAGAAACTTTCAAGGCCATTAAGAGAAAGAGTGCCACAAAAGGAATAACATGCACAACCAACCTCTCATTTGAGACACACGTCATGTCCTATAAGACTCTGGCTCTCTGCAATCCTGGTAAAGAATACATCTGTGCAATATACTCTTGTTGGTAAGTAAGTACCTGAAATAGCATTGGTCAACATTTCCACAACCCAATAGGATTTTGGCAGGTATTAACAACTTCATAGAAAGCATCAGCTTTCTGATTGGATTTTGTCTAAAGCAACAAATTTTTCAGCTAAAAACAGTGTTTTGAAGAGTAGTCAAAAGAGAAACACCATCTTCTAAGTGGCTTAAGACATGAGACGTATTTTAAATCTTGAGAGCCGGCAAGCATGAATACAACTGACCCTTCATAGCAACAGGATGACTGGTTATATACCTGCAGCACAGTGCTCTCTCTCTCTCTGTCTCTCCTGTTGATGCTTTAGCACCATAGGCCCAGGCTGGCTTTCTTTGGTGCACAGGTGAAGACACAAGCGGATTCGTGTGCTCCTATGCTCAAAGGAGCTCTGCGAGTTGGGTCCTTCACAACCCCCACCTTTTTCCCTTTCTTCATGCCTGATTCAGGAACATCTTGATGTGGATGGAGATTCACATATTGATGGAGAGTAAACCTGAGAGATCTTCCTATGACAACCTTCTGGCAATGGCATGGTGAAAGGAGGCTGCTGGTAAATGTGGACTGCTGGGGTCCACTCTTTTACCTCCCACCGATTCACACAGTGCTCCACACTTCCCCTCTGAAAATAATGTATTCAATCTCCAGGGACCTCTGGAGATCATCCAGTCCAACTCCCCTGTTCAGGCAGTGTCACCTACAGCATGTTGCCTAGGATCATATCCAGGTGGATTTTGAATATCTCCAGAGAAGGAGACTCCACTACCTCTCCAGGCAACCTGTGCCAGTGCTCTGTCACCCTCACTGGAAACAAGTTCTTCCTCAAGTTCAGACGGAGCTTCCTGTGTTTCAGTTTGTGCCTGTTGCCTCTCATCCTGTCACTGGGCACCACGGAGAAGAGGCTGGACCCATCCTCTTGAAACCATCCCTTCACATACTTATATACATAGATCACACCCCCCCCCCCAGCTTCTGTTCTCCAGGCTAAACAGGCCCAGCTCTCGCAGCCTTGCTTCATAGGAGAGATGCTCCAGTCCCCTCATCATCTCTGTAGCCCTCCGCTGGACTCTCTCCAGGAGCGCCATGTCTCTCTTGGACTGGGGAGCCCACAATTGGACACAGCACTCCAGGTGAGGCCTCCCCAGGGCTGAGGAGAGGGGCAGGATCACCTCCCTCCACCTGCTGGCAACACTCTGCCTAATGCACACCCTTGGCCTTCTTGGCCACAAGGGCACACTGCTGGCTCACGGTCAACTTGTTGTCCACCAGGACTCCCAGGTCCTTCTCTGCAGAGCTGCTTTCCAGCAGGTCAGACCCCAGCCTGTCCTGCTGCCTGGGGTTAGTCCTCCCCACGTGCAGGACCCTGCCCTTGCCCTTGCTGAACTTCAGGAGGTTCCTCTCTGCCCAGCTCTCCAGCCTGTCCAGGTCCCTCTGAAGGACAGTGCAGCCCTCGGGTGTGTCAGCCACTTCTCCCAGTTTAGTATCATCAGCAGACTTGCTGAAGGTGCACTCTGTGCCTTCCTCCAAGTCATTGAGGAATACATTGAACAAGAGTGGACCCAGGACTGCCCCCTGGGGGACACCGCTAGCTACAGGCCTCCAACTATGTGCCCTTTGAGCTCTGCCATCCAGCCAGTTCTTGACCCACCTCAATGTCCACTCACCTAGCCTGCACTTCCTAAGTACCTATAAAATACAGCCATGGACACGTGAAGAGTGGACAAGGAGACTGCTTTGTTCCAAAGAAAAATTTGACAATGCCATCTTCTTTGTTGTGCTAGTAAGCTCCCTCTCCAATGCCGTGAAACTGTGATTTATTCAAATTTGAGAATTCCCCCATTTGTCTCAGGAGCTCTAA